CTGCGACGTTGTCAAGATGGAGGATAGTTCGCCAGCCCCACGGCTGATTGTGCGCGGCCGGACCCTCCGCTATCTGGACCCGAGGCGTTGCATCCCTCAACCCTCAAGATTGTCGCGCGTCCCAATCAGAGACTAAATCAAATTGTTTAACACCAACTGCCATTTAGAGGCAGCATCTGCCTCTGCACAATCAAACTGCAGGATTCCTAGGATGCTTCGAAAGGGGGGGAGGAAAGAAAGGAAAACAAAATCGATCCGCTCGGATTGGTAGAAATGTCTTAACTCCGGCGTTGCATCCGTTTTCATTTCGTCGATTTATTTTTCTTCTTTCTTCGTTCAAGTTTTGTTTTTTTTTTTTTTAAAGTTCGTTTTTTTGAAGTTCTAATTTTTTTTCATCGACTCGATCAATTTCGAAATGGGGAATGGGAAAATAAAATTAATTCAAAAAATTTTGATGGTAGCTTGAATTAATAAGTTTTCAAGTATTCTTTATGGATTTATTTGTTCTCGTTGAAATTTGTTTTTTTAAAAAGTTACGTTTTGGTAATATTTTTCATCGACTCGAATATTAATTTCCAAATAGGGAATGAGGAAATAAAATTAATTTAAAAAATTGTGATGGTAGCTTGAATTAGTAGATCTTCAAGTATTCATCATGGATTTATTTGTTCTCGTTGAAATTTGTTTTTTTAAAAAGTTATGTTTTGGTAATGTTTTTCATCGACTCGAACATCAATTTAAATTCAAATAGGGAATGGGAAAATAAAATTAATTTAAAAAATTGTGATGGTAGCTTGAATTAATAAGTTTTCAAGTATTCTTCATGGATTTATTTATTCTCGTTGAAATTTGTTTTTTTAAAAAATTATATTTTGGAAATATTTTTCATCGACTCGATCAATTTCGAAATAGGGAATTGGAAAATAAAATTAATTCACTTGTGATGGTAGCTTAAAGTAAATCTTCAAGCATTGCACGTATGTTACATCGTATCGTGGATATTATTTGTTTTAAAAATATTTTTTAAAAACTGTTAATTTTTGTAATCAAAATGCTGCTAATTTTTCTCATCGACGTCCTTTTCTTTTTTTTCGTTTCGTTTCAAAACTCAAACTTGGAATAGATTTTCCAAGAATCCAAAAAAGAAGAAGAAGAAGAAAATAAACGAATAAACGATCAAGAAACGATATCAAAGAGCCACGGCCTCTAGAGGCTCGCCAATTCCCCACCGATTACCACGTTTCGACGGTTTTCGGGGCAACGAGAAGATGAAACCGATAACGCGATACCGGACGGGGACAGGGAGGGGGCGATTTCCCGTAACGAGAGCATATAACGAGGCGAAATTAAGGGGCATTGTGCCTTAAACAGATTGCACAGTGGCGCGAACGTGACCGGTGGCCATGTTTCTCCGTTGCTCACAGCATATATATATACATATATATATAGCGTCCACTAAAGCCTCGTTCACGATTAGTCGTGTTTGCCTTCCTTGCTACTTACCTCGATAATCGAGTTCGAGTAATCTGCGCGTCTTCGAGCGAATATCGTAGTAACGAATATCGAATATCGAGCAATGTTTCTTGGTTCCAACCACCATAAAAAATCGTACGTATCTCTATTATCTTCGGAGATACAGTGATTTTAAAATTATTCTAAAGATTTCAAAATTTTCTCTTCTTTATACGACCATAGCGTTTGAACCCCTTTTTGTAGATTAACCAATAAAAATTGAGTCTAAGGAGCAATGTTTCCCGCTTTCAACCACCATAAAAAATCGTACGTATCTCTATTATCTTCGGAGATACAGTGATTTTAAAATTATTCTAAAGATTTCAAAATTTTCTCTTTTTTGTACGACCGTAGCATTTGAATTCTTTGTTATAGAATATCTATGAAAATTGAGTCTAAGGAGCAATGTTTCCCGATTCCAACCACCACAAAAAATCGTATGTATCTTTATTATTTTCGGAGATATAGCGGTTTGAAGTTCATCCAATTCTAAGGATTCCAAAATTTCTTCTTCTTTGTACGACCATAGCATTTGAACCTCTTATTGTAGAATAATTATGAAAATTGAGTCTAAAGAGCAATGTTTCCCGTTTCCAACCACCACAAAAAATCGTATGTATCTTTATTATTTTCGAAGATACAGCTGTTTTAAAATTATTCTAAAGATTCCAAAATTTCATCTTCTTTGTACGACCATAGCGTTTGAACCCCTTGTCATAAATTAACCAATGAAAATTGAATTTAAAGAGCAATGTTTCCTGCTTCCAACTACTACAAAAAATTGTATCTTTATTATTTTCGGAGATATAGCGGTTTGAAGTTTACCTAATTTTAAAGATTCCAAAATTTCATCTTCTTTGTACGACCATAGCGTTTGAACCCCTTGTCGTAGAATAATCAATGAAAATTGAGTCTAAGAAGCAATGTTTCCCTCGTCCAACCACCATAAAAAATCGTACGTATCTCTATTATCTTTGAAATACATACATACAGTGGTTTTAAAATTATTCTAAAGACTCCAAAATTTTCTCTTCTTTGTACGACCATAGCGTTTGAACCCTTTTCGTACGTTTCCTGCTTGCAATCACCACAAAAAATCGTACGTATCTCTATTATTATATATCTATATAGCGGTTTAAAATTTTAAAGATTCCAAAATTTCCTCCTCTTTATAGCGTTTGAACCCCTTGTCGTAGAACCAATATGAAATCACGTGAGACACTAGCTAGAAAATTTTACAAAGGACGTACAGGAGAATAAGGAAGAAAGAGAGGTACTCGTGAAGCAAACAATTTCTCTTTTCCTCTCTGTTTCATTTTTCTTTCCAAATTATTCCAAATTATACCAAATTGCTGGCACACGAATATAACGATGCAACGAATACAATGCAAATAACGTGTGTTGCGAGGGATTGGATGCACGTATGTACGCAGAAACAGCGGAGAAGAATTGGAAGGGGTGATAAGGCGATGGCAAAAGGCAACGGAACGTGGATGGAAGGGGGGAGAAACGTATACGGACCACTCAGCCCCGTGTTTGCCTACACGGAAATCCTCTCTAACGGATTCTAACGCTCGACCGAGCTTGTTCACTTTTTCATCTTCGATGAACCGACGATTTTTCCCTTCTTTCTTTCTTTCTGAACGGGACCTTTTCTTCGCTTTTCAGAATATTTATCCTTTATTTCCGGGGTTTTTAATTAGAATTTTAAGATTAGAAGCGGATCGAGGTTAATAAGCTCGTCGATTTATTAAAGTCAATCTCTCCTATTTCAGGGTACGGAAGCAGCTTATCCAAATCAGCATTGGACACGCACACCCACCTCAGGCAGCCTGGTATGTAGTAGGTAGATATTTTTCAGAAGTTAAAGCACTACATCTCTTTCTTAGCGGTCCATTTCGAGTGAAGAATATCATTCAGATGAATCGAAAGCGAGAAAACTAAAATTCGAAAATTAATGGGGATAGTTGAAAAGATTGCATCTAACCGAGAGGGGTTCCATCCGATCAAAGCCGATTTTTTACACTGGAGCAATTGCACGGAACGATCTTCACGATTATTACACGTTCGCCACTAATCACGCAAACTCCCCCCCCCTCCCTCCCTAATCGGAACCTTTTCGCCGCCACGCCCGAAAATTACTCCTTCCTCGTCGGTCCTTGATCGATATAGGTTTGAATAAGTGGGCAAAGGGAAGCTCTCTCCCTCCGTTGTTGTTACACGAGCATTTTAAATAATTAGTAAAATTCGTATTACACGAGGAATAATTTAACGAATCTAAAGAAAAAAGTGATTCGATAAAGATAGCGAGTACAGAGGATCTGAATCGATTTATTAATTCTTATACGAGCATTTTAAATAATTATTAAAATCTAATGAAACAAAATTCGTATTACACGAGGAATAATTTAACGAATCTAAAGAAAAAAGTGATTCATAAAGGTAAGATAGCGAGTACAGAGGATCTGAATCGATTTATTAATTGTTACACGAGCATTTTAAATAATTAGTAAAATTCGTATTACACGAGGAATAATTTAACGAATCTAAAGAAAAAAGTGATTCGATAAAGGTAAGATAGCGAGTACAGAGGAATCCGAATCGATTTATTAATAATCTTGTCTGTTGGATTGATAAATCGGGTTGGATTTGTAATTTTCATTGGAGAAAGAGAATTGGAGGAAGGAGAGGATATCGATAGATTTTTGGTGTTTGGTGAAAATTGGTCGAAAGAAAAGAAAAAAGGAGGAAAGAAAAATTGCGACGTTTCGGTATTTTCTGTTCGGGTGGATGCCCGCCTCCCCCCACCCCTTTGGCCTGTTCGCCAGATAAATGGGTGTACCGCGCCCCTTCCCATTATTAACTTGTAAGTGAATTACCGTTCGATCGAAAGGCGATCACTCCGCCACGCATTTCAGGGGATTCATCCGGCGAAACGACCTTTGAGGTCCGCCAATTCACCAACCATCATCCCCCCCCATCCACGCGCGTCTGTCCCCTATCATAATCGGGCAAAATGTATTTTTATGGGAGTCGAGACGGAATAGACAAGGGTTGTATTATATAGTTTCCGTTCTTTTCCTTTTTCTTTTCCCCCCTCTCCTTGGGTTCCAATATACGTTGTTCCGATTCGTCCCTTCGATACCGATCGAGCTCTCTCTGTCGATAATTTACCAACAATTATTCGTACGGATGGAAAGTGGTTAAATCGAGGTTATGTTTTGAAATCTTTATCTTCATCTGAATTATTTTTGTAAATATTCTTTTTATTTTTCCCTTTGAGAAATTGAGTTCCTCTCAAATTTTTATGTTACGAAACGGAAAAGAGAATTTTGGCCGCGTTTCGGCTTATATTACGGTCGGAACGCGAATGCTCAGTTTAACGGTGTTCGCTCTCTCGCGAGAGGACATTCCGTGTACGCCCTTTGAACCACTCCGTCGTTCGTTCCCTCAATTGAAATTATTATGATCCAAACGAACTCTATTCTATTGTAGGGTTGCGATTATATCCTTTTGTACGGTTGTAGGGCACTCCAGGTTCTGAGCAGTAGCGAACGACGGTGATGACGCATTGTAAGGCTTTTAAAGGGCGATACAGGGAGCACTGGGAAACAACCGTGTAATGGATAGGTATATACGTTCGGGGGAAATACCGAAGAAAGGAGAGAGAACGAAAAATTACTCGAGTTTTTTTTCTTTTCTTTTTTTTTTTCACGTTTCGTGAATTCGATCGAATTAAAATATCTAGAATTTTTCCTTCGACATTAGCATTATGCATTACACTTTTTAAAAGATGATAAGAAATTTCAATTTGAAGAATCGTAATTGAAACTTCCTATCTAGAATTTTTTCCAAATTTCGTCGTAACTCGTTTCGAAATTCTATGGATATTCGAATCGAGGAGGGGGGTATTAAAAATTATTTGAAGAATCGTAATTAAAACATCATATCTAGAATTTTTTTCCAATTTTTTCCAAATACTATGGATATTTGGATCGAGGAGAGGAGTATTAAAATTTATTTGGAGAATCGTAATGAAACATCATATCTACAATTTTTTTCCAATTTTTTCCAAATACTATGAATATTTGGATCGAGGAGAGGAGTATTAAAATTTATTTGGAGAATCGTAATAAAATATTCTATCTCGTCGTAACGTTTCGAAATTCTATGAATATTCGAATCGAGGAGGGGAATATTAAAATTTATTTAAAAAATCGTAATTAAAATAATTAAAATATTCTATCTAGAATTTTTTTCAAATTTTTTTCCAAATATTATGGATATTTGAATCGAGGAGACGAGTATTAAAATTTATTTGGAGAATCGTGTTCATGGAAATTTGCATTAAAAAATTTGCATTTGAATAGTAATTAAAATATCCTATCTAGAATTTTTTCCAAATTTTTTCCAAATACTATTATATTCGAATCGAGGAGGGGAGTATTAAAATTTATTTGGAGAATCGTAATAAAACATCCTATCTAGAATTTTTTCCAAATTTTTTTCAAATATCCATAGTATTTCATAGTATCGAGGAGAGGAGTATTAAAATTTATTTGGAGAATCGTGTTCATGGAAATTTGCATTAACGTTGGATGCTAATTAAAACATCCTATCTAGAATTTTTTTCAAATTTTTTATCTAGAATTTTTTTCAAATTTTTTCCAAATATCCATAGTATTCCATAGTATCGAGGAGAGGAGTATTAAAATTTATTTGGAGAATCGTGGAAATTTGCATTAACGTTGGATGGTAATTAAAACATCCTATCTAGAATTTTTCCAAATCTCATCGTTTGGAAATTTTGTGGATATGTATAATATAAGCGAGGAGGATACATAATTTATTCGGAGGATAAACAAAGAGATTGGATGGTGAATTACGGCTCGGGCTCTCTCTCCAAATGTTCTAGATCCCTATCAAATGTTCGGAGCGACGAGCAGTCGGCTCGCGAGCTCCGGTTCCGGTCAGATTCAGCTGTGGCAATTTTTACTCGAGCTACTGTCGGATTCGAGCAACGCCGCGTGCATTACGTGGGAAGGAACCAACGGGGAATTCAAGTTGACTGACCCCGACGAGGTGGCGAGACGTTGGGGCGAAAGGAAGTCCAAGCCTAATATGAATTATGACAAATTGTCGAGGGCTTTAAGGTGAGTGATTCCCCTTATAATCCTTCTCTCTCTACGCCTCTCATCCTGCAAACATTTCTTTTTTTTTTTTTTTTTTTTTTTTTTTTTCATCGAAACGAAACAAATTTTTATTTTCGTTGCGGCTATCATTTCGCTCTTCCTTTATTTATATTTTCGTACAACGCTTACTCGTCATCGAATTAAACCGCCATTCTTATAATTCTTCCAGTGGAGCCATTCATTTCTGCGGTCCAAAATTTGGAATTATGATACTTTTCGAATTATTAAAATTATTTTTTACCTCGATTTCCTTCATCATTGTATCGTTTTGT